AAATAATGAGAATCCCACCTGAATCTTTATCATCAAACATTTTATTCCATACAATAAATGGCAGTAGTAAAATTGTCAGTAATTAATTGATTGACATAAGAAGTTGAATTAAATCCTAAGTGACTGTCAAAGTGGAGGATTTGATTGTTTCAGTAATGTGATCACATCTACGAGCTCTGCTGAAAACTCTATATGAAGACAGACAAGCTTTTGAAAAGCTAAACTGAGAACTCTGCTGTGTATTATTGCTTTTCACGTTCTCATAAAAAACAAAATCCTGACATTTTAATGCACCCTATTTTATGAGAATAAATGTTCTGACAAAACCACCAACTATAACATGATGTCTGCGTCTTGCAGCGTGTGGTGAGACGTTTCCTGTAACCTGTCTCCATACCACCCATCAGAGAAACTGAGCAACATGTGCAACTGCCAGCAGCACCAAACATTTACTGAGACTGCATAGGAAACTTTGACTCTTTGATTATAATAAGTTGTTTATCATTACATACATATGCATGTTGTTGCTATAAATTAGCAGACCAATTCAGACCTTATGGCAACCCAACTTTGGCCCACAGGCCTCCCTTTGGGCAGCCCTGGTTTAAGGCCCTTTACTGGCTCCTATAGGGAATAAGGTTACACTGTGTTGTAGGTGTGAGGCTGCCAATACTCTATATTAGTTCAAAGAGAAATAGGATTAAAAGTCTACTTAAGCCCCATGTCCTGTTGAGGTCAGGGCTTAGTCGGCCTGAGAAACTGCTTGACCCTCGGCACAATTTAAAGCCTAGTAGAGGTTTGTTAAGTAGGCTGGTTACTGGACACCATTTACAGTTGGATAGTCTGCATCAGTACCTGAGAAATACTTGTTCCTGATTGGTTGGCACTGGCAAAAACTGAACTAAATCTGAATCATTGCACTATTAAATTGCGCATAACACCAACAGCCGGCCTACTTAGTGGGAATTAAAGGTAATTTGGACAGTTTTTGAATTTCTGCCTTGTGTAAGCTTTAAAATAATAAATTGGAAGAAATGAGCCCAACACATGACACATTTCTGTCAACTGAAACTATCCATTTGAGGAGAAAAGAAAGTTACATCATATTCCAAGAACCCTATATGCGGGTGATTGGGAAGCCACATCTTCTCATTGATTTAGGCTCGTGTAAACATATTTATGTGTCCATCCTTATCAATTCAGCCTCCATTCTCCTATACTACATGAACGCTGGATCTTAAACATGGGTTCATCTGGCCATAACCTACTATCACAAGCGTCAAAGCCGGCTAAGAAAACAACAGCGTCCATCTTGTTCACTGTTTTCATAACATTTCTTGCTACACTTTATGACGGGACGTTGCGCGACGTGCGCGCTGCGCTCTGCGCTCCTCCAAGATCTCGCGGGATGTAAGATTAAACGGGTGGTTTTGAAAAAAAAGGTGGTTCCCTTGCTGCACCGGGCTGACAGCAGAAAGACGCACAGGTAGCCGGCAGTAGCGCTGAAGGATCTTGTTAGTCTACCTAGCGACGCTTCCCTCTCTTGCGTGACGGGATTGGAGAGTGCGCTCTGGAGGTGCGAGCCTCGGCGAATCCACCCCGCTCCATCATCATACTCCGCTCAGGTCACCTCGGCGCTCGCCTGTCGGCATTTTCCATCTCCAGTCTCCGAAGATGATACCTGGCAAACGAAGGGCTGCAGTCATGTCCTTCTCGGTGGCGATATTTGGAGCCCTGATGCTGCAGTCCGTCTCTTCCCAGAACGGTAGGACATGCGCTCTCCTTATGGAAAACAAGTGCCGGTGGTCTCACATCATGTGGGGAAAATGCGGGTTTTTAAGGAGGGATGTCGCTTGCATTTCTGCATTTGGGGCTTTTTTTTATTTAATGAATCATAACAAGACGTCTGTTATTAAAAAGATCGTTGACCATCGGGAATATCTCTCCAGCAGCCAAGTCTCATTAGATAATCCCTGAACGCAACACTGAAAGAAACCCATATTAATTGAATGAAGCGATGTCTTTGCCCCCTCCGAGCGTTTGAACATTCAGGGTCAATAAATCATTAATAAGCTCCAATCTGTATTCGTTGGGCTGAAGTGGGCCAAGCACAGGCCTGTGCGATGTCCCTAAAATGTCCTTTGAAGTGTGGAGCTGAATACATGAGCCGCTCAACCAGCAAGGACAAGTTCTGCTCATCTGCTTGTTGGGAGATCGGAAAAAGGTGGATAGGGAAATGGTGCCACACTGAAGTTCAAAATCTGTTGTGCTTTCCTTTAAAAGATGAGCACAAACACACACAATCAACATGCTGTCAGGCTTAGGTCTGCTCAGGTATGTTAGGATACAGCTCAGGAATTCAGCATTTAGGATCCAGCATCCCTTACTCCTCTCCTGCTGGGTGAGATATTTCTCTGCATCAGTCTCGGACGCCGTTGTAACAAAGCATATAGCACGCATGCAATTAGAGGTAGGACCTTTTAGAAGTGCGGCTTTGTAAATAGCATCAGTCCATTTTGCTGCATGCTTCTATTTTTAGAGCAGAGAGATGCTGCACTGGGAACCATGGCTTTAATGTCCTCTTGCAACAGTGAATCTGTTAACTCTTTGCTGAGATGTGCTGCACTGCAGAATGGCATTGATTTCTCTGCACGGTCCTACTTGCCCAAATGACCCTCTGCTCATAAATCTCATCCCCACCGTGCAGTTTAGAGCAGCGTAAAAACCCCCTCTGTCTCAGCTGAGTATTTCTAGGTGTATATTGTAAGTGTAGCTTGTGTGGCTTTGCGAGCGTTGTGTGAGAATGAGAGTGAGAATTTATTCAGCCCTGGCCTTCCCTAGAGTTGACCATGTGTAGGAATGCATTACACATCTCCTTCTATACTGCACACCCACTCGTAACATCTCTTCTTCAATCAGCCCTCCAGTAGATAAAGCTCACATTTCTGGTATTGCAAGTGTAATGGCTTTTTATCTGACATATGGCTGGAAAGTGGGCTATTTTCTCATCTCCTTCGCTTGTTTTCAAAGAGCCCAGAGAGGCAGGTTCATACTGTATATACAAAATCTGATTACTGTATTTTATTCCACAAGCATATTATTTTTCTTAATTCTGTGTACAGCCACATCACAGGAGCCATTTGGATCTGCTAATGACTGTTCCCAGTAAGGTTCCCTTAGGATGTGTGTTACATTGAAAAAAGTAGAGTGGCTTTTACCAAGCTGTTTTAATAGTATCATTCATACCATTTTTTGGAGGTAATTTCTCATACAGAAGGCACAGAAGGTCTGAATTAGTGAACTGGTCGGTGCAAATTTGTTGGATTTTGTTAAATCAACCAATAAATATTTGATCAGTTTTGGGTTAACTGCATAGAAATAGTGAAGGATTTACTCGAGCGTATTGCAAGTTTTAAATCAACTGATTAACATAAAGCTCATCATAACACATCATGAGCCTGCAATGATGAAGTCTGATCTGTGTAATTTGCAGTAAGGCTACAAATAGCTGAAACTATAGAATGTTAACTTAAATTTTAATCGAAATTGGTGCCATTTATTTTTCTCTCAGTTGACAAATTGATGAATCCACTAACAGATTCACTTCTAATTTGCATTTCTGTCATATTTAACATCAAAGACGTCCTAACTCGTGTTAGTGACTTTCTTTATAGCTCCGCTCTCTCTCTCATGCTCCCTGATACACTAGACAGTTAGAAATTACTTTTTAATTCAAGATATAAATTCAGTCGAGTATATTAATCTTAGTATTTTACATTAAAATCATATTTATATTCCTTTTAAACAATCGCTCTTATTTTCTGTAAATATCAGCACTGAAAATCACAATAATACCTTAAGGAAAATTTCTCCACATTCACTTTTGATTAATACATTTTCAATATCTAATTACACTAATTATACTGATCAGCATGCAAATACATGTAAATATATGCTTTCCGATACTTTTCTTCCCTGATCTCTTGTTGTTTCTGTCCACCAGGACTCTTCTTCTCCTTCGATAGAATATTCATTCAGCATCCAATTAGCTACTCAATATGTGTTGTGACAGTTTTTGGTACATTAACTGGGACAGTGGCCAGAATTGCTTCATATTACACTGGTTTAAATGGATTCACTGGAAGATAGAGAGAAAATATCTGCATGAAACACTCATGACTATTCGAGGCCATCTGTTGTCAGGTTATGCTGTTAGATTTTCAGTGAATAATGAACCAGAAATTAGCATCAATTTCATCTAAAGTCAGTCTCCAGTGATAATAAAAAGTGGAGTGATAAGGGTATTAACTTTCTTATCATTCTATTTGCTGGTTTAGGTACCATATTGACCTTAAATTTGCTTTAAATTTACAGTCACAGGATGTGGTAAAATGTGAGTCTGATTGGACAGAAGAGTCTGATTGGAGAGAAGTACTATACAAGCCTTGTAAATTATGATTCATTATTAGCACTTTCTATCTTGCTAAATACAGTATGTGACTCTAAAAGGCTCGTATTAAAATAACACCATAAAGTCACATTCAGAGCAGAACCAATTAGACGATTAATTGATCAGCAACTCTTTTTTTATGTTGGTTATCGAGATCAAACACAAACTATTCTCTGGTCCCAGCTTCTCCAGTGAGAAGATTCCTGCTTTCCTCTGTTTTATATCACCATAAACTGAATATTTTTCAGACCTGAAGATGTCACCTTGAGCTCTGAGAAACTGTGTTTTATATTATTTTCTGGCTTTTTTCAATAAAACGATAAAAATGGGAAGACAAATTTATTTATATCACAAAACCACCTACATGTAACTCACAGATTCAATGTAAAACATGATCATAGAGACACAAAACCAACACGATAAAACAAACAAAAAAAGCTCTTTACAGACATTTAATCTTTAAGAAAAATAAAAGATTGAATAAATGTATTCAAATCTGGAAGCTATGCTGATATAAAAATTAAATATCTTTGGGCTGTGACAAAACAAGCCATTATTTGGTGTCTCCTCATATCAAAAATTGATTGATAGATGAATTGATAAAGAATTAGTTGGTTGCAGCCCAACACATTCAAAAGTTAAGAATAAGAGAATAACTTTAGATCAATCAGAGTGATCTCCCACATGAGACGCACATAAACACATTCCCGAACTAAGCTTACATCAACTCGACCTGAGTGACGTCATTCAGACACGTACAGTACAGTGGCGTGCAGGGACAGCGCTACTGACTCAGCACTTTTTACATATCTAGGCTATCCGAGGTGGCAGGATCTGTCCTCAGCACTTCTGTTTTAGGAGCTGAGGTGTTGGTTTGAGTTCTCAGTCCCAGTCATGTTATTCACTGGTATTTATATACTCAATTGCCAGTTTATTAGGTCCACGTAGGTCAGTGTTTGTAATAGTTTTTACACTGCGTCCCACCTCAGAATGAATTAGGCTCTCCAAGTATCAATATTAAGATGCACTAGCATAGGCTAGACCTAGATAATTCATGCAGGTGAAAGGTATCTTTCTAATACGATTGTTTGTTGTTGACTGTTGTTGAATCTTGAACGGAACCGGTTCAAGAGCCAGAGCTCATTGGGTGGAAAAGGGGTACTTCTGGTCCACTCTTCTCTTCACAATATTTCCTATTTGGAGCCACGATTGATTGTTTTTGAACCATTAATTTTGTTGCAATCACATTTTAGCTCATAACTAGTCATGGATGTATCAGCGAGCTACATGTATAAGCTATGATTGTGTAGTATTTTAATTAAATAAAAAAAAAATGTACATTACATTTTGTAAAGAGATTCAACGCACGTACTCTCCGTGGTATTAGTACCATATTTTGAGAACCAGTGGCTGAGGTAAAAAAATAAATAATGCGGTTTAATAGGAAAGTCATGCAGTAAATCCTACTTTCATTAAGGTTATAATCAGTTGTTTTAGACAGGTATTGATTCAATTTTATGATCATTTTGGGGGCGGTAATTTATGTTTCTATTATTTTATCCACCTCATTTATATCAGTAAGGTTACAGTTCAACAGCAGCACAAACTGCAGCCTCAAATCAACACCTCACTAGAACAACTGATTATAGCCTTCATGAAGGTAGGATTTACAGGACTGTTGTATTGGATCAGTTTTAGCTATCTGTCCTTAAAAAACGGGCGACAGAGTCTATGCAGGAATCTATATGTGCCTACAGTAAATGTGCTGGCCTTGATGAACCGGTTGTGGGCTGTACAGCATGGTTATGATGTCAGCTTGACCAAAAACATGTGATTGTCTGTCTTGTGATGATCTGGTTGGCTGTCTCTTTCTCTTCCTACTTTGTTGCCGTAGAGTGCTTCTATGGAAACGGAGGGGGTCTATCACCATGCGCCCACACGCTCCCCAGAGACCCAGAGCCGCAGCTTCTATAAATCTCCTCTCAATCTCATGTGCTCTCCACAGAGCCTATAGACTATGCAGCCCCCCCGCCCCACCCCCTTACTCCTCTCTGTGCAGCCATGATCAATTGTTTCACTTTTATTGCATTCAGTTCACAGAGGGAGACGTTTCAATCTAGTAAAATCAACAGCATAGTTTGCCCGCTGTCTGTGTTCTTTTCTGAGGACTAATGATGTTTTCATTATGCTCCACAAGATGTACTGAAAATGACAAGGTCAGTTGGAGGACTTTTGGATGTGAGCGCCGTTCGGGCCAGACACAAATTTATATGATATCATTAATTGGGCAAAACCAAGTGAGAGCAGCCCTGCAAGGACGTCCCAGCAGAATTGAATTAAAGCTTCCCAGGAATAGCAGCAATAATGGCTTAGGCAGATCTGAGGTCGCCTCTGTCTTTCTCTCACTCTCTCTCTCTCTCTTACCGAAAATGTTTGTGTCACTGTTCCTGACAGAGAGGTTGATGTTTATTTCATTGTTTTGTATCTGATGATTTAATGTTGTAGATTTGTGTCTTATTCTTAGTTTTCTTAGTCTTCTGTGGTAGTAAATTGAATATCTTTGGGTTTTGAACTGGAAATAAAGCAATTTGAGTTTGCAGTCTGGTCTCTGGAAAATTGTGATGGACAATGGAAAATTAGTGACAGATAAGGAAGATAATAGTTAGCTTCAGTTGCGTATTGTACATCTTTTTTTCCCCTTAAATCATCAACAATCATCTTTGTTTCATTTGAAGATTATTTTATCTGTCTGTCTTTTTTGATTATTTCATATTATCTGTGTTTCTTTTCTAGTTACCTTTTTAATTTGTTATTTTCTTTTCTTTCTATCCTACACCTGTTTTCCTTTTTTTTTTTTATGCTATGCTGCCACCTAAACCTCCACCTCCACCACCAGCGGGCTTTGTGAAATCACCTCTTTCTGAGACTAAGCTCACGGGTGACACCTTTGAGTTGTACTGTGACGTGGTGGGGAACCCCACCCCAGAAATCCAGTGGTGGTACTCTGAGATCAACCGAGCAGATTCCTTCAGGCAGCTTTGGGACGGCGCCCGTAAGCGGCGGGTGTCCATCGGCACGGCCTATGGTGCCAACGCCGTGAGTGTGTTGGGTGTCTCCCGTCTCACGCTGGACGATGCTGGGACCTATGAGTGCAGAGCCAGCAATGACCCACGCCGTAACGACCTGCACCAAAATCCAGCCACCACCTGGATCCGTGCTCAGGCCACTATAATGGTGCTGCAGAGTGAGTGGTTAGTGTAGAAGAAAACACCAACCCACCCACCCCATTAGCAACCCAATTTAACAGTTCCTGTGTGATTCAACCTCCCTCAAACCTCTCCAGAGGACCACTAGCTTCCTCCGTAGGTGCCATCCTCCCCGGCAGACTCGGAAAATGAAGAAAAACACCATCAACTAGTCTCCATGTTCATTTACCAGCAGAGTTGAGTAGTATTTTACATTTTACTCATCCCTCGGTTCAGTACGTCCTTCAACCCACACCCTGTAGAGCCCACTCTCTATTTCCTCTGTATTTCACATTTCTTTCCCTTTGGCTCTCATCTTCTCATTTCCCTGAACTGAATGTCATATTATTTATTTTTTCTTTTGATTATTATTATTGTCGTTACCAGTTTTTATTTAAAAGTGTAAGTTTAATTATTTTGATACAGATTTTCCCTCAAACTATCCTGTTCCAAAATTTTAAATGCATAGATCCTAAGATGGAAACCAAAAAAGTGTGGGTGCTGAAACATTTCTGTAGCACAGAGTGTCAAAAAGTACAAAAATCTAACACCGAATGTCGGATCATGTTAGTAATCATGTATTCTTTGATCAGATAGTTCCAGATTATTAATCAAAATTGTACCATTTTAGACTATTTTCTGTAGACAGTAGTTGTACAGCTGATGGTGTTTAGGTTTAGTGAATATATTTACCAGTTGTGTGGTTTGACATCCTTTTGTTTATATTTAGTAAAGTAGGAAAAAAGTCATTTTGCTATCAATACCAAAGCTGTATATACAGTACGTGCTGACCAAAATTACAGTTTCAGCGTGTGACTACCCAGATTGAGAGGTTCACTGGTGTCTACATGTGCAAACAAGATGTAGATAATCAGGATTAAGCAAAATGTGACACTCTAATTAAGGTCTTCATGGTTTAAAAGCTAATCCAAGCCAGGATTATCAGTTGAATTTCAACCAGATAGAAATGTATGTTACTGTAGAGTTTCTGTGTTTTTATCGGACTCCTTTAGAGCTATTAAATATCTAAATTAAAGCTTATAGAGTTGTTGAATGGGTCTTCCTCCATCTAGAGTCATCCTCACTGGCTCCCACATTAGTACTTCTTTTATAAACGTGAATGCTGTAGGTTTATTTTAGAATAAAAAAAAATAAAAAATGATTGACCTATATTCCAGTCGTCTAGTAGAAATATCTGCATTTCAGTTGTATCCTGTACAGAAACAGGTTATACAGTTCTCCTCTGTAAATGTTCTAAATTCCTGTTTAATAAAATCCTTACTGTTGCTCAACATAGGAACACAGGGCCCGCCTAATGACACTGCAGGTTTACATCATGGCCGTCAGTTTTAATAGACCTTTTTCACAGCAGCCATTTTGGCATGGAATAGTAGGGCAATCACAGGTGTTACCAATAATACTAATTAAGGCTCCGTTCCATTCATGTCAAACAGAGTCAGAGTAGTGCTGTTGTGCATGCTGGCTCAAAAAATGCCTCTGCTGCACTAAATGGGACAGAACCTTAATTAGTATCACTGGTAACACCTGTGATTACTGGCGGCTGTGGAAAAGGACTCAGGGTCGTTTTTGGGAAGTCGTGTTTTTTGTGGTACGGTGGACAGGGCAGTAAAATGTTTCTATCTTTTAGCTCATGGTGATCATTATTGATGCATGTAACAGAAATTTAAACTCAGTTATTATATGCTTCTTAGGGAAATGCACCTTGGGAGCTGTAGTTGGCTTCTCTCCGTACATTTTTATGTACACAGGCTTGTACCTTGTACTTTTTATCAAAGAACCAGATATTTTCTAATGCAGCTGGTCATCTTTTGTACTGATGATTCAACCAAGAGAGTTTCATGTCTTCTACTTAAGGAACCCTGGATGCCCAAAATAATTCCTCCCACCCCGCAGCCCTATTCCTGTGCTATATTGTACAAAGTGTGGTTGGCTGAGGCGTCTGTCTGAACCCTTTGATCGTTGTTGTTTACATCTTCCAACACACCCTCACCCACGAGTCCAAGTAAACATCATTTCAGTCGTAGCTGATCTGTGTCTCTCTTATAGAGCCGTCAATCACCGCCTCCGACCACATCACGCTTCCTATAGAAGGCGACAGTTTCACACTGCAGTGCAACCTGACCAGCGCCCACAGTGTCCACCAGGAGAGCTTCTGGACGAAGAACGGAGAGGAGATCCTGGAAACACGCAGCACAAATAGGAACACTGAGTACAGGTAGGAGTCACGGCATAAGCTTGTGCAGCTTCTGTGTGTATGTGTGTGAATGCTAAACACAGAGTTTCATGTGGGTTCATGTGAGGCGTGTTTCTGCTCTGCAGGCGGAACAAACCAAGAGGAGACGATGCCGGAGTGTACATGTGTGTCTACACCTTCGAGTTGGCTCCTCCAGCCAACGCCACCATCGAAGTTAAATGTAGGTGTTGATTTGTGAGCTACAGGCTTCTTTTTCAGTTTCAAGGCCACATTAGAGATGTGACCAATAAAAATGGCCTGTGGCCTTGAGCGCTAGCAGCCCTGTCATGCGAGGACCTGTGATTTCAAACGGCTCTGCTGGCTGCTCAGGGGCAGCCGGCGCCCTTGACACCTCCATCTAACCAATGCCCGGCTCAGTGGCAGCAGATGGTGTCTTGTTTGTCTGATGGGAAGGGATTATGTCCCAACGGTAAAAATCTGGACAGCCTTTTCTGCTGTCACACAACGCTATAGAGGCAAATTGGATTTTGGGACTGTTTGCTTTTATTTTATGGGGCATTTCTATTCATCCGGGCAGAAAGAGGATTTATAGCCGCGAAGATTAATGATATATAGAATACACAAAATGATACAGGCTGCTTAATGTTACATTGGATCACATGTTCTTCTGAACTGACTTCCCCATATTTTACTCCCTGATCATGGCAACCTTCACTGGAATTACAACAAGATAGTATCTTATGTGTTATTTATTTTATTGTCAGTTTTTTGTTTTAATATTTCTCTGCTTGTTGCATATTGTTTGCTGCATTATTTAGTCCCTGCAGCTGTTTTAAGGCCAATTATACTTTATTTTAAACTTTGTGCAAAAGCACACTATAAACAACTATTATTGTTATTATTATTAATATTTTATTATCTGAACTCCATAAAGCAGCTGTTTATTGCGTGAAAAACGTATGCATTTATGCAGCTGTTTTCCGTAAGAATTGCTTCATAATATTGAAAAGATAGATGCAATAAAAAGAGTATTTATTACAAGTTTCTACTTTAAAATAAAAAGATGAAATTGACAAATTTAACAAAAAAAAAGTAAAAAAAAAAAAGTAACCCATTTATCATTTTCATGCGACTCACATGAGTATACGTACATTTATAAGTTACTGCACCCACAGTAGACCTGTAACACTTAGTTTTTGTGAATTCTGTTGAATGTATTTTAATAACAAATTGTTATTTTGGTATTTTGTTTAGCTGCTCCTGATATCACAGGCCACAAGCGTAGTGAGAACAAGAATGAGGGTCAGCGTGCAGTGCTGTACTGTAAGTCTGTGGGTTATCCTTACCCTGTCTGGACCTGGCGCATGTACGACAACGGCATTTATAAGGTACGTTATACATTATTTTAATAGATTTCTCTAAATGTAAATGATCCACAGGTGCTGCAGTTTGCTTCATTGGGATGCAGAAACATCGAAATGCACAGGGAAGTTACATTTAGTTTTGTGGCGTACTTAGATTCAAAAGTCCCCCCAATAATAACATAAGACGGATACTTTAACATATTGGAAGTGGAAAGATTACAATGTAATGTTTTAAGACCTCAAACTTCTTACCTAGAACATAAAAGCTAAACTGTCAGACTGTCCAACCCCCACATTATTTCTTTCCTCTTCTTCGATAGGACATTGACAACACAACCGGTCGCTTCTTCATCAACAGCAAAGACAACTACACCGAGCTCCACATTATCAACCTGGACATCAATTTAGATCCAGGCGAGTACCACTGCAATGCCACCAACATGATTGGCACCCGCGAGGAGAAGATCGTGCTGAGGGTTCGCAGCCACTTGGCCCCCTTATGGCCTCTCCTGGGGGTTTTGGCCGAGATCATCATCCTGGTTGTCATCATCGTTGTTTATGAGAAGCGTAAGAAGCCAGAAGATTTACAAGACGGTGAGTCACCAGCGGTGGTGTTTAGGATTGTTTCATATTATTTCACAGTTTTAATAAATCTGAGGACAAACTGGTTTTATTGTTCAGTTTTGACACAGATGTCTCCTGTGAATTTTCTGCAAAGTCTTTTTTTCATCCAAAAAAAAACCTGTCAGTGTGGCGTTGGGCAACGACGCGACCGTAAAAGGGAAGCGCTTTCTATTCGGGTGTCTGCTTAAGTCATTCCTTCACCATAGACACCGAACGAGCCACCTGACACTGTGCTGTGCCTGCATTCAATAATTCAGTCTGGCAAGGTTGACCCAATAGGCAGACACTGTTGCAGGAGGTCGTACCTTGTTGGGACAATTTAATGCATTTAATATTCATGAGAAATATGATACTGCAGTGTTGCGGAGGTGGACAGTTTCAATTATTAATGGCTTTCCAGGGACTTTGTGCCGTCCCCAAGCTGCTGCAAGCTTAACCACAAGACACTCAGTTAGTCAACAACCTGCGTATGCCATCCTGGGATTCTCTAATACTACGGAGTACTTCAAGAGTTTAGCTATATCATAAATAATGCATTAATGGTATTTGGGTGACCTTTTCCTCTTAAAACAGAATTTTGATGTTGCCACATGCTGATTAGTTACAACGTGCAGCAAATGACTGACAGCTCATAACTATCAATGACACTTTACAGGAATATATTGTCATTATGGTTCATTACATAGTCAGAAATGGACTGTTGAGTTTAAATCACGTTGAGAAGCCTCACAGTCTTACAAAATGGATGTAGATTGCGTGAGTCATAGAGCTAATTCTTTCATGAAATGTTAATAATTCATGTTTTTCTTGCATTTCTTTAAATAAGGTTAGCTTCCAACCTGTTGAGTATTTTAACAGATTTTTGTAATATCTCCCATCCTCCCCTTTCCCCATATTGCACAACCTAAACCATGTTTGTGGTAAGTGTGAGACTTTGCATGCTTCATGAATTTCAATAAGCATTCAGCCTCATCTTCTTCCAGCTCACAGCCCAGTACACTGTTCTGTTTAGCTTCCTCATTAGTGTCAAGTGCAGCTAAATAATTTTTTTTTTAGTTTTTAAGATTGTTTTTTATTTTTTTATTTTTCAGAAACAGCAACTTCACATTTTTGCATCAAACTCATTATTACTGCAGCAGTGAAATGGCATGTGAGTCACTGTAAGGAACTGAAAATATTTTGTACTGTCACTATTTAACACTGCGTCAGTGACTCCACTAGAGGGCTGGTATTGATGCTGCTTCTAACTAATCTCTTTTAGGGAACAGCTGCTCTTTGAGAGCGCTGCCTGTCTATGCATGACAACAGTATTTTCTTTCATTTTTTATGTGAATTTTGCCTGAATGTAAGTGTTCTCACTTGCTCATGCGTTTCTTAATGTGGTGTTTGTGCTGGATTTAACTGCATTCTGTGTGTTTGTGAGTGACCTCATGAGGTGGGTTTTCTGCGGCATGACAGCCTATTGTTTACTATTTTATTACTTCATCTAAGCTTCGTTTTCATCCCATAACACACATACATCACATAGTGTACATCTGAAACATAAAGATTCTCAAAAACCTCAGTGCTAAGTTGCACCATGTGTCAGTCACAGCTACTGTTACATGTTGCTATTCTTTATTCATCGTGTGCAACTTCCTTGCGATTTTTTTATTTTTTGGTCTTCATTTCTCCATATTTTCCCTTGTTGCATCAGATGATGACCCAGCTGGACCCGTGTAAGTATTTAACATTTTACCTTCCATACCCTATCTCTTTTTAGCTTAGTAATGTGTGTTTTTTAAAGTAGCTTATCATGATGTCTCCACTCCTGACTCCTTTAGAGCTCAGTGTACTCCCCAAATCTGGGTCACAGACAACTGCGAGCATCACGTGATGGTGCTTTGCTGCATTCATACATTACAAGGAAAATTTTTTAAAGTCAAGTGAACAGTCGGTGACATTTCCAAGTTACCATCTGAACTTTCCTGATTACGGAAGCCCAGACTATGATGCTCTGAGTCTTAAAAAGGCCATGTTTTACTTTGCGTCCCTCTATTATCAGGCATAAACCGTATAAACATTTAATAAATTATTTATAATGCACTATAGTGAAGTTCTAATCAGTAGTAAGTGTTTTATTCATCTATTTGGTAACAAATGTAATTCCTCCTGTGAGCACCTGTAAGGGGAGGTTGGTATATAAAAAGAAAATGAATGGCAATATAATAAAACACAGTTATAATTATATAAAATATGTCCTAATAGGACAATTTATAATTGTTGATAATATATATGTTAATAATCACTTAAGAATGTAATTATAGCTGTTTAATTTATTTATTTAATGTTTGTATAGTGTTTAGAAACGCTAAATGGGGCGGCTTAAAATAACGTGTTATACCTTTTAAAGGTTAATAATAGAGATAATATAAGCCTGTATTGATTCCCAGAGGGGAGATTCATTTCAATGACAAAAGAACAGAAAATAAGTAGCCTACAGATAGAGGAAATTAAAAATAATTAATAAGAAGTATATAAAACAATAATAGAAATAAAAACAGAAAGTATACAAGAGAAAGTTTATATTTTATTTCTCTTTTTTTAATATATATATCACTTTTATTGCTAAATAATCCTAAGAATTGTTTAAAGGTCCAGTGTGTAACATTGAGGAGGAGAAATTGAATATAATATTCATAGTTATGTTTTGATTAGTGTATAATCATCTGAATATAAGATTTGTGTTTTTATTACCTTAGAATGAGCTGTTTTTATCTACAGGCGCTGTGGTTCTCCTTCCATAGAGTCCACCATGTTGAACTGCCATGTTTCTACAGTGGCCCAGAACAGTCAAACCAAACACTGGCTCTAGATAGGGTTTCACAGTCACTGCGTTTCTCCTACACACTTCACAGTCCGTTCTCATTTCATCAAATACAGATGCGAGCTGTGTTCAGTTAGCTGCAGTCGGCAACTTCCCTGCTAGATGCCACTAAATCCTACACACTGGTCCTTTTAAGAGCTGTAACTAGACCCGGCTTTGGTTACTTCTCCACTGTGAAAAATGTTAGTGTGCACCAGAGCTGCAAGTATTGTTTTCATTATTGATTAAAGGGTCATTCCACAAATTACCATGATGTCAAAATCAGTGTAGTGTCCTATTTAATTTACCATTTAGTCTTTTTTTTCTTAATTGCATCAGTATTCTATAAAATGTCAGAAATTACTTAAATTCCCATCACTGGTTGGCAGAAGAAGATGACTCAAAATGATCAGCGACCAAATGTAATTTATAAAAACGTGAAAAGACAGAGATAGACAATTTTTAGTGTTTTTATTTGATAAATGATTTAATAGTTATTAGAATTCCTGTCATCTTTTACTTGAGGTGTGAACTAACTGTCCTTTTTTACTCCTTGCTAAAGGAAAACTAATTCAACCAACAACCATAAAGACAAGAACCTCCGCCAGAGGAACACCAACTAAGCAGCCTGTCTACTGAGTAAGTCTTAAATTATTAAAAGGAAGCCTGATTAATAATATGCATTACACGCCTGTGGCCACAGATTACCAGATGAGCCACCATATGAAATTATCTCTGAAAGCTCTTGTCAACCAAAATAAGACTACTGTCAGACTAATGAGTTGAATTTTCTCTTTGTTTACAGGTTTCATTACACATGTATTAACCGTATGAAGGTAAATAAGAAGGGAATCCATACCCGTTGTTTATAGGATTTATCCACCATTAAAAGTATGGTTGTGGAGGAGTTAAGTGAGGCATGCCTTATGATTTTGTTGTGTGAGGGTGCGAGGGCAGGAGGTACTCAAACCAATATGGAATTAACATTATAACCATTGTTGCTGCATGCAGTTGTTGACGTTTATGATTTTTCCCTCTTATCCACTAATTTAAATATTTTTACTAAAATAATGCATGCAAGATGCTGACCTTCTGTTTGAAGGCAGAAAGGTTTTTTTTTTTTCCTTTTCTCTGAGAGTGGCTTCATGTAGATAACCTGTGTATTCTAGAGGAAAAACAATACTCTGCAATGTAAAAGAAAATGCCACCATAATCTGGTATGACAGTTGTGTATAGTTTTATCATCCTGCTGCATACCATTTTCTAAGTTTCATCATTTTATCAGACTATTACATTCTAAGGGCTTTGCAATGTCCCTCTAAATTTGATTAAGGTTTACTTTACTGTATGTACTGTATGTGTTAAATCACTATAACTATGTATCAGATCAGCATTAATATAAAGACTTCATATTATACGATGCACTTAAATGTTGAGAATAATGAAATACTGTATAAACCTACTTTAGGAGATCTGTACTAATCATTCTAAATGATTGTTTTATAATTATGTGTATTGTACAGCATGGCTATTATCCTATGCAATTATTATCCATATCAATATATTGAAAATCATTGCAGCTTTTGATTTCTCTGTGACAAAGCTTTAAACTAGTAGGATCACCGTAGAGCGTTGATGGCATACTACACAGCTGCATGAATACTCTACAGCTGACGTGGGAGGAGGTGAAAGAAGCCCACGTCAGGACTGACACATGTGAAGCAATTGCAAGATCCCGACTCATTTTTAAGAATAAACATCTCAAAAAAGAAAGCGTGTCTGTTGAGTTGTTTTTTATTTAATGTAAAGACACACCAGACATTCAGTTGTACCACTCAGGATGTAAACAGTCTGTCCCATCATGGAAATGCAGAAAAATAAAAGCATATGGAGAACATCGCCATCTAGTGAGATTTTAAGTGACTCACAGCAGACTCATTGAACATGATGAATTTCAGACATCAGAGGAACAAAGACCAGCAAACAGTGATTAAAGATTCTCCACTGGTGCACAAAAATCTTTTAAGACTCAAGACTTGTAGAAAGAATATATATGTTGTTGTGGTTTCTTTTTAACATCTGGCCTGACATAACTGCTGAAAACAGTCTTCGAAGTAAATTTGGGTTCGTTTACAGTGTTTTTTTTTTTCAATCAATGAGCACTGTCTCTGTCAAATAAGCTAATGAAATAAAAAATAAAATAAGATACTCTAAAACTAGACCCTTCAGATTCAAGAGTAATGCTGTTTTTAAGCACACATCTGATGTATTAATGTAGATGTGAAAAGATGGAAAATATGACATTAAAAACCCCCGTGTTATATTCTAGGAACACAATTTAAAAAAGTAAGTTAGGTATTTATGTATAAACTTTACAGCAAGTATTAATATATACCTTATTTGTTAATTGCAGTTTAAGTGTGTCCTATTTAAGGCACTAGCCAGGCACCATACATATGAAGCCAAAGATCACATGGCCTTCATTAAGAATATGTGTCTTGTGCTATGTATTTGCTTTGGCTTGTTCTATCAGCACAGAAATGTATTTTTACTTATCTAACGAGTCAAAGTGTTGAAGGGGGATGATAATGGATGTGGGGAAGTGTTATGGTGGCTATTTGTGTTCATGAAGTGTCCTCGGTGGAGCTTTAAGAAAACTTCCTTGTTAGGTTGCTGAAAAATACTGTAGTACCAAATTCTAATATAATTATATATACTTCTTTTGATTATAGACCACACTCAGTTCTTGTGATTTATTTATGGAGAACTAAAGATTTGAACAGACTACAAGTGTCTCTGTTATCCTTGACTGGATGCCTGTGGTGACTGTAAATATCTGTGAACCAGACTTAAGGTTTCCTAGTTCTCCACCAAAATTATGTTCCTGGTATTGTGGGGAAGGATTTTAAATTGTATATCCATATAGAATTTGCACATTATATTATTTTAATTGCCAGTTTTGCAAAATGTGGAAAAAGAAAATATCCAAAACTTTCTTTGTGTCAAGTAAAATTTTTAATTGGGAGTTGCACTGGGAGACTTTATACTCTTGGTTGGTTTTAATTACTTGCTGCAGAGTCCTCCTGTCCTGGGTCATGCACATCCCGTGTCAGTTTGTAATGTTTCCAGTCAGAATGCTTTCCTTCACTTCTTTTTAAAAGTTATCAAGAACTTGGCTCAGGATTTTGCTTTCTTAGCTTTGAGAAATACAGTGATGGAAATGTGACATGGTCATGACAGGTTCTCTGGGATGTTGATTCCCAGGAACCTAAAACTGTTCACCTGCTCAACCTCAGTTCAACTGATGTAAACAGGAGTGTGTGTCTTGGCTTCTTTTTTCCTGAAATCAACAACAACCTCGGTTTTGCTGACATTGAGTAGTAGGTTGTTTTCTGTGTACCACTCTATAAGATCGTTGATTTCCTCCTCATATGAAGTCTCGTTTGAAATCTGGCTGATGATGGTGCTGTCATCTGCAAACTTGAACAGGAGGGGGCTGAGTACACAACCCTGAGGCGCTCCGCTGTTGAGCACTAGAGTGGAGGAGGTGTTACTTCCAATCTGAACTGTCTGGGTTTATGAGGAAACTAGTTGTTGATTATGGCACTCAGGCCCAGAGTGCTGGGTTTACCAATCAGTATAATGGGGTAGATTGAGTTGAATGCTGAGCTGAAATCAACAAACGGTATTCTGACGTAGGTGTTGTTTTCCTCAAGGTGTGTGAAGACTGAGTGGAGGGCAGTGGAGATGGTGTCCTCTGTGGAACTATTGGTACTGAAGAGATGTCATTCTTTATGCCAGTTTCTCAAAGCACATCACTTAATTTAGTTTAGAGTAGATACTGCAGACCACTGGATGATGGTGGCTGTCTTGAAGCAGGTGGGAACACTCTCCTGTGACAGTGATTGTTAAAAATGTCAGCAATGACATCAACTAGCTCACTGGTACATGTTTTTAGTGCACGGGCAGGGATGTTATCAGGCCCAGCAGCTTTAGTCATATTCACTCTCAGCAGGATTCTTCTCACATCCACTGTAGATACTGTCATCGGTGGATCCTCTGGAAGCAGAGTCGACTTTACAGCTGACTCTTTGTTGAGGAAATCAAAAAAGGCATACAATGTTTAGCTCGACTGGTTGCCTGGCCTCACACATGATGGGGGCACTCCTGCTTTTGTGGCCTGTGACGTTTTGGATCGTCTGCCACATTTATATGCATGTGGAATTTAGATAAAACTGTTCTAAGATTAAAATCACCAACAACAATAAAAACACCACCATGTTTTGCCTGTGACTGCTGAGGACCTCATACAGTTCCTGTAGTGCATTTCTTGAATTTGCGTCTGGAGCAGCAACAACAACAGCAAACACACTGGTGAAGTCTCTGGGCCAATGATATGGACGACATCTTAACAATAAGAATTTTACATCTGGTGAACATTGTCCAACCACTGACTGCGTTTGAGCATGAAGAATCACTGACACAGAGTCTGCCTCCTGTCTTCTTACCGGGTCTTGTGTTTTGTCACTGTATAAAACCTCTCAGTGAATTGACCAGCACCGCACCATACAGCCTCTAAATTAACCATAATGTTGTATCACCTCTTTTTTAACACTAAGAGCTAGTTGTGCCTAATAAACTGGCAACTGGGTGTGTTTTTCCTCTGGGTTATTCTGAAACAGTATGCTGCAGCACTTTCAGCATATTATGTGGAAAATTGCAGTAGTACAGCAAAGGGGGGCGCTATTTTATTGTGCCTGCTGGCTGGTAGCATCAGTGGACAGGTCTCATTGTTGGGCTTTCAGCCACATTTCCATAACTGTTGCTAGCTGGAGAGGAATGGAATATTGTAATGTGTTTTCATACCTTTTCAACTTAATTGTCTGGACCTGATTCCTAGAAGGTAATACTGTGTCCTGGATTAATGTGTCATTGGGATTCAGACTATAATAAAACATTTCTAGAGCAAAGAGACATCTGTGACTTTGTGAACCCTGAAAAAAAAAAACAGAACACAACTTTTGGCAAAAATGATTTGTAGTTCTGTCTGTGTGGATTAATGTCTCATTCAAGTAGCGAAGTTTAAATAAATCTGATGGACTAGTTTTTAAACAGGCCAGTGTATTATATTTAATAACAAATTTAGTGGGTATATTCAAACTTTGTTGGAGAGGTTAATATATAATTTTTTTTTTCTTCTAAGTTAACACAGTAGCTTTCCTTTGGACTTTTTTTTTTTACCTCCTGTGTTTCAAGTTGTCTGTTCTTGTCAAACAACATCTTTTTGACATGGTACCCAACACTGTGCAAACCGTTATAGGGTGATGGTCCGGCTGCTGAGAATGTGTATGTGTGTGTCTTTAGGTCATGACAGGAGAAAAATTGGCACACAGAACAGTTTCAAAATAATTATTTTAACATAACATCTTGAGAAAGACCAAATGTGGCCAAACGTCAGTAATAACATCTTATGTGGTCATTAAATTCAGCCAAAGCCACATATACAGTATATTTCTGTCAAAGTTACAGGGGATACAAACTACATGAACAGGGAGCTTAACCTACAAGGTTTTGCTGCCTGCAAACATAATGAGAGTGATAACTGGTAAGTATTAAAATAAGACATAAAGAGTGTGAAATCCTCATCTGGGCAGTTCGTGACCAAGAAATCTTTAGAGACACAAATAACAAGCAGCAATAAAGAAAACTGAATAACCTGCAGACAGATACATACATTTATATTGAAAAAAGTCCCTTTTTTTGTACTGTACAGAGCATTATATAGATAGATAGATAGAGCATTATACCATATGAAATTGCGATGGTTTAGATCAGTTTATTGAAGTTTGCATTGAATCGACAGTAACACAACCAGCTGTCAACAACCTTTCACCAAATGAATTTGCCGTGTTGGTCTTTGCCGGCAAACTGTTCAATCGCTTTTCTATATGACTGAAAATGTCTTCTCCAGGGAATGAAACATTGCACGCACTATTAGTGTGTATTAATCTGCCATAATACAGGGAACAGGAGGCCAAACATGTTGTAGCTCAATATAATACCATCGCGGTAAGTGATGAAGGTTCAGACAAATCCACAATAAGGAAAGAACATTATTCACATTGACTTCTCTCGTGGTGTTCAAGCTGTGGGTTCAAGGCCAAATTGGAAATGTTAGTCTCTCTAGGGGACCGGAGGGAGGAGGTCTGTTGGCTTGGAGAGGTGATAAATTACAGCACGCTGAGAGTTTTCACTGGTTTGTTTATTGTTATCTGTTGTGCTTCGTATGAGGATTTGGTACACTTAATAAAACCCATATCTCTAATGCAGAGTCCTACATATAATGTAAATGCACACTTTACTTGAAGCGTTCAGTGAACTGTCATAAGACCTTAAGAAAGACAGTTTTTATTCATTTTGCGTAACTAAAAAACAAGATGATGGGCATAAAATTTCATAATTTTTTAATGCAAAATTATATAACAATTATAAGAAATTCTGACACTAGAAAAAAACAAGTCTTATAATCCATTACGCTTCGTTAAATAGGACGTAAATACTGTTCATAGGCTGCAGATACAAGCTTCACAGAAAGTGTGCGTCTAGATTCCGACAGCAAGACACACTATTGCAATATTCTTTTTTCTGGCAGATCGACACATAGCCTATTCGCACGGTGATGTGCCCAAATATTTAGATTGTCGCTTTCTCTCAACTAGTGAACTATCAAATCCAAGGCTGGACCCGATCCTTGAATCATCCCCTCCAGTTGTCCTGGCAGGGCGGGGTGAGCACATGTGCCATTCCGGCTCCTATGGCAACCCAATAGATTATAGCTCCGCCAATATTCACGTTATTAGAAGGCGTGAGGCTGATGGATCAGTGATGTCAGCGCTCTTTGAATGCCGCTACCAGCTGCGTGCATGTGTGTCATCACCTTGCACTGACAGAAAGCTCAGATATTTTGGGGAGGTGGAGATCATGCTTTGTCATTGAGGAGCTCAGCAGCAGCATTCTCCCACTCCGGCACGTCCGACGCTCAGCATGCTGCATCCTGATGCGCTCTCGTCTGCACGCTGTGGGTTTACCTGGATTTACACGCATTTCCCGTTTACCGCCTTTACATGACCGTCGGAGCGAAGCGGACCCGTATTGTTGACGCATCTCAATGCTTGGACCTGGGGAAAGAGGCACATCCCAAGTGTCAAATAAGATACAACCTGTCCTGCGGATGCGCCGTCACTGTTTTGCCTCCAGTGGCACCCCAAGTGCATGAGATTCATGATTCATCCCTCTGTTTTCACGGGCTATCCTTAAAGCGCATCTGTTCTCCTTCTTCAAAATGGAAAGATTCCAGTCTTCCATGCGCAAACGGCTCTACAGCTTGCCGCAAAACATTGGGCAAAAACCCTTCGTGATTGACGAAGGAGACAGCGGCGACAAGGACACTAAGAGGAAAAGTATTCGCCTAAAACATTTGTCCTCTCCGTCTCCTGCAAGCAGTTGCAAGAGCATTGAGGAGGCCAGGAGCGAAGACTTGGAAAGGGACGTTATTGTGAAGACCAACTTAAACGGGGACTGTCGCTTATTTAGGGGCAGCATCTCTTCCATCACCGGGCGGCATCCTCCCGGGTCAGATCCAGCGGAGCAGCGGCGCCTCATCCCCGAGGCTGATGCCGGTGTCAGCGAGAGTTTCCCCGGTCAGCACGGTCCGGGGGCCCAGCAGCGGGCAGCGGGTGGTCTGAGTGGCGCAACCGAACAAGCAGCTATGTTTGACCAGTCAAGTTTAATCAAGTTGGAGGGTAGCGAGCAAATAATACCTGAGGACGAGCGGCTGTACCAAGCCGGCTTCATGCACCGGCAGTTTGGGGCGATGCTCCAACCGGGAGTCAACAAGTTCTCCCTGCGGATGTTGGGGAGTGAGAGGGCCGTGGAGCATGAGAGGGAACGAGTAAAGTCTGCTGGCTTCTGGATAATCCACCCGTACAGTGATTTTAGGTAATTTGTGTGCAGCAAACCCTTTCTTTAGCAGTGGTGTCTTAGAGGAAAGTGCAGCAGTGATCCTGCCACACATTTTAAGCTTGTGTGATCTTTTTTCTTATTTTTTTGAATAAAAGCTTAATCTTGATGGGACGTAAAATTCCATCAAATACAATAAGTTTACTATTAATGACACATACTTATCCCCTATATAACACAAGTGTTTTCTTTTATCACTGTGGTGATGTTATGATAACAATGTGATAATCAGGAGTGTGTGCAGAATATCATAAACTGAATGTGCCTCAGTAATCCATACACACCTCGAATAGATAAATGGCTTCATTTCTGAAAATTAACCATTTCTAAAGACTTAACCACTCATGCTGTACAGACTTAGAGTGTGATGTATCATAAAGGAATTGACTGGTATACAAAATCCTCTTATAAACACAAGTACAGCCAAATTATATCAGGACATAAATCCCTCTTTTGTTTGGCCCAGAGAAGTGTGTGTGTGTGTGTGTGTGTGTGTGTGTGTGTTTCGTTCACACAAGAAAAGGCTATATAGTAATCTAACCAATCAATTTTCTGTACAGTTTTATAAATTAAATTTCTGCACCAAACTAAGCCAACCTGTAATTCCTTAATTTTTAGCAGCCATGCTGTGCCATGCATACGTGCACGTTCCACATTACATTGCATGCTGCATACAAACCAGCATTGTGTTCATCACCGCCATCAAGGGATTTTCATGACATTTAACCTTGAGGCTCACTGTCATCATATTTTCACCGGCCAGTTGTACGCCAATGTGTGTCCCTGCAGTTTTTTTCCACTCATCTGAATTACACTTTTTTTTTTTTTTATCATTTAGCGAGGGCAATGGATTACAGTGCAGCAGGGGCTTGGAAATGGGGTAATCAAAATAGGGTAACATGACCATTCAAGATATTAGAAGCACACATCAGTGGAGATTATTACAGTACAATTAGTCTAATGGAGCAGAGACAGTGTGGACAGGGGAGGGGACACACCGCAAAACACTGAACACAGAGAGAGAGAGAGAGAGAGAGAGAGAGATTGAAATGAAAATGATGTTGTGAGGAATCAGGACACCCAGATGTTAACTGTGTATAGTGTCATTACTTCATGCACGCCCCCCCTTGGGTCACACTTAGAGCAGGAGCAGGTTCTTTGTGTGGGCCTCTAAAGGTGAACACTGTTTCCTGCAAATCCCATTTCAAGTTACCATTAAAGAGTATTTGGGTCATTTTTAGCTTACTGATGAATCCAATCCTAATCCGGCAAACATTCAACTTCACCCCCTGATTCCTGTGACAGTTGAGTGCTGACATACTGTGTGTTTCCATGACCACTGTGCATCATCTCAGTACAGTGTAATGCATGTATCTTCTCCTTGTTTCTTTTATAGACACAGTCTCCCTGTCGTCTATATCATAATTAACTGCTGTCTATCATTAAAGCGTTCCGTGGATGCAGCGGCAGACATACTGAACTGGCACACTGCGTAAATATGGTTAATATGATTGCTGGTGGGCCTGAGCCACAGTACAGGTGTGTGTTAAGCCACTGAGCTGCATGCAGGCTGTTGTGCTTCAGCTGCGCTCTGGCAGCAAGAGATAAGTATCTCTAGTACAAATGTGATCCCTTTTTCAGCTGTCCTGATTGATCTAAGCTCCTTTCACCATTTTAAGCCTTTTTGTGTTCACTTTGCTTGTAACTCCCCTCTCTTTGTGCTCCCATGCTCTTTAACGTAGTTTGCACTCTGACCCAAATAATGCAAGATTCCGCTTTGGACCAGTAGAGGTCCAGATATCCCGCAACTGTCAGCTGTATTTTGCCTGTAACACCAGATTACACCAGCAAGTTGTCTGATCTTCGTGGGCTGAATGCTGCGTGCACAGTCAGCTGATGAGAGAACAGGATGGTCTGCAGGGTACGGCGGTAATGCACTGTCCCCTGCAGACCTTTCTTTTTTGTGGTCCAGCTGTTCCAGTGTTCTGTAGCACGGTGACGTGTGCAGAGCAGTAATGCTAACGACTCAACATCTGGCTGATGGAGCTGACTTCTGGAGATGACATGGATTCCCAGGAGATAACGGTGGATTTAGCTAGAGAGGGGAAGTGCAATTAGGACCAGTGTGTCAGCACAGAGACAACAGGCAGATGAAGAGAGGAATGCAAATGCTTTGTTTGGCAGAGAACAACAGAAAGCTGATTAGAACAAATGGCCACCGTGTCCTCGCTGGTTCCCTCTTTTCATGATGTTCTCTTGTGAAGGTTTGGTGTAAGTAAGTTAAGTGTGTGGTATACCCTGCTCACATCTCTACTGTTGGACCCTCATTTCACATTGCCCTGAACACAGTATAGCTTCCCGTGACTCTTAGCTGTTTCTTAATGGATTTTATTTGCAGCATTTATAGACATCATAATCACATACTACCCACATTTAGTCAAATACTCCTCTTCTTCTCTGAGGCAATCATGGACTGAAGTTTTAAATTAAGGCTGTTGACAAGATGAAGAGGCGTCTGACCAATCAGTGCTTTTGAAAATGTTGCCATTCCTGTGATTTAAGGTTTCTTCTCGTGAGTATCAAGCATTTAACTCATACAGTGCAGTTACTGTGCGCTGCCTCACATGCCACTAGTACCCTTAAGTGGTGTAATGCATGCACCCTCGTAGGTCTTCGTCTTTGTAGGTGTGTAAGGCTGCTGTTGGATCGATCAGTGGTTAATTAGGTCTCTGAAATGGATCGGACATGCAATCACATGCATGCATGCTTTCCCATCTCACACGCACTCAAGACGGTAATTGGTTAAAAAACACTCTCCATATCTTGGCTGGCCTTTGTGTAGCCGAGCTGTATCTATGTGTACATGCTTCCTGTGATACATCATACTGCAGTGATCATTTTAAAGCAGTCCGCAAAATAAAGGGAATAAAGACATGTGACAACTAACCATATCCATGATATAGTAAACAGAGCGATTGAAACAAACAACTTGACTTTATATTTAGCTTGTTTGTTATAATTTGCCAGATTTGATAATAAAGCTCTGAAATTTAATGTATTATATACGTATTTTCAAATACTTCACGATGTGGGGACATTACTGTAAAGAAAAACTAAAAGCAGCTTTTTTTCATGCAATTACAGATGAAAGTCAACCTTCTGCTGATACTTGAGGATTTAGTTAGTTGTGAAAATCAATATGTCCTCATGAGTAATTCAGATGAATTCCAATAACCCATTTTCCTTTCCGTCCCTGTGGCCAGAAGCCCAGTATTGAACTGAATTAGAGAACCATCGTTGTTTCATCATTGTGTTGCTTTGTTTATGCTCAAGCAGTTTGTTTTCATTGCTTCTGCTCATTTGAACATAAATCTACTTGATTTAGAGTTACAGTGTGCGACTGCAATTAATTTCTATTTGAAGTTCCTTCATGTCCAGAACTGCTTTGAATATGCAGCACATATTTATTATGCACATAGACATGCACACGCAGTCTTCTGGGTGAACAAAATCGGTGTCTATTCATAATCTATTCCTGTTTCTCTCAGATTTTTTATTTTCTCTTGTACTTGTAGAAACAGCCTAAACAGTTCAAACTACAGATAATCAGTCTTTTTACTTTAAGGATTAAGGACAATTTTCTTTATTGGTTTATCTGCTGATTATCTTGATTAATTGATTTGTTAATTGATGTTTCAAAATGGTAAAAAAAACAACAACCTTAAAATCTACCAGAGCCCAATGTAATCTACTCAAACTGCTTTTTTTAGACCAGAACTCCAGTATATTCAGTTTACTATAATATGACAAA